CCCCCCCCCCCCACGCCACTCACCACAGCCAGATCGAATTGTTCTAGTGGTGGGGCTAAAATGTTAATTTAAGACATTTTCCAGCTTCCAGCTGCCATTTCGAATTGCCCATTAGTATTGTTTATGTAAACAAAATTGCAGCGCTTTCTCTGTTAGGTACCACCCCTAACCCCCGTCACCGTCACCGCCCCCCTCTGTCTGCCCTCTAGCTCATCTCTGCTGACGCTGGGCCTCATAAAAAATCGATTGATGTTATTTACTGCGTCTGTTGCATTTTAATTGCGGGCTATTTCTATAACTCAATCAATCTTTGACAGTCACTCTCTCTTGCTCACCCTACCTCCCCCACCCTCGCCCTCTCTCTCGCGCTCACCCACAATTTGAAATTACAATAATTAACGACTTGCCCCTAATGCTCAACTCAGATTTTATTATTATTTTCGTTCTTTTTGCTGTTGTTTTGGTGTCATAAACTTTATAATCACATCTGGTTTCATTGCTGTTGCTGTTGTTGTTGTTGTTGTTGTTGTTGTTGTAAGTGGGGGTTAAACCGAGATTCCATAACTCCGTAATGCCAGTAATTAATTATAGTACGTCGCAGAACTCGTTCTTTCTTCTTTGCTTTTGTATGGCTCTTGGCAACCAGTTCGATTTGGATATATGTTTTTATAGGCACTATATATATGCAGATTTTGGCCATATTGCATATTCATATATATATTTCGATTTGTTTCCTAGCTAATGCACGATCGTGCCTGAGATAGACCTTTCTCTTCCAACCTTTTCATGGAGTCTTCTGTTTCTGTTTCATTTCATTCGTTTTTGTTTTCGTTTTTGCATTTACTTTTTTTTTACAAAACTCGTTTGTTATTTCGTACAGCTCAATGCGACATGCTTATATATATATTTATATATGTTTTATGCATATATGTATATAAATGCAAAGAAGAAACGAGATGGCAGAGCTAATGATGTAAGGCCGCAGTGTGAATGCTCTATGAGGAGGTGGAGAGGTCTGAGCGTACTGAAATTTGTATTAGTTACCAAAGTTATATGTGATATATATAGACTATGAATTTATACTTCCCCGACTATATAGTAAATTGATTTTATTTATTTATACATATAGATATAATTTATACATGTTAAACATATTCAATATTCCATATAGTTAAAGTGCTCTGTTCTTAGAGTATGGCAGAACTCGAAATGCGAATGAAACAGAAACAGAAGGAGAAAGAGAAACCAGATATGCGTAAATCTAAAAAATCGCTCAAGGTTGGGTGGTACCTCACGATCGATGTGTGTGGGGTTGTCGCAGCGATAACTAAAGGCAGTCCTGTTCTCAGTCAAATCTCAACCCCTCCCCCCCTCTCTCTCTCTCTCCCTCTCTCTCTCTGTCGCCCCAAGACAAAGTTGTTTTTGCAGCTTGCAATTAAAGTCACTCGGAATGCGGCCGCTGACTTTTGTTTGTTTTGTCTCTTGGCTCACGTGCCAAAACAACAGCCATACCATCATAATAACGACGATAATAATAAGAATAACAATAATAAAAGAAGAAGAATCACAACAACAACAGCATTACATATACATATGTATATATATGAGCGAAACCTTGCCTTGACTTATTCATAATATCAGATGCGTCGCATCGTTACGTGCCGGCGTATGAATCCAGTGAAACTTTACAGCTTAACGCACATGTACTCGATGCTCGGTGCTCGACGCTCGATACTCGATACTTGGCACTTGATACTGGCCTCTCTAACGACTTGTTAATCATTTGCTGACAACTTACAAACGAGCAATCAAATCTAAATATTATTGGCGTGCAATTCAATACTTGCTGCTCAGTACGCATCACTTATTGCTGCTATTCATTATTCATCATAAATTACTCGTAATTACTCTTTACTCACGGCCCATGCACCCTTAGTCATTTGTTCAAAATCAATACCTATTGCTCCTTATCAACTCATTGCTCTGATCTCATGGCTCATTGATAATTGCTCAGTATTTAATACTTAAGCAGAGTCAATAATCTCTTGGCATTGTAGCTCTGTATTAGTTACTCATTACTAAGTGCTCATTAATTACCGGCCTTTATTCACTACTCAACTCGTTACTCATTGCTCATTGGTCGTTAATCATTAGCTTGCAGTCATTATTTATTATTTGACAATCAAATATAATTTAATTGAATTGCTGTTTGATCTTGTGTTAGTTATATATAGTCTATACCAAATAGCCAGTGATCAATATTTAAAACTTATTCAAATTATTCATTATTCATTGCTCATTAGTCAATAATCATTAATTAAGTCTATATTTGGTTACTAATGGTAAGCATTTAAAACTCATTATTCATTACTTCTTGCTCATTAGTGATTAGCCTTTACTCATTACTGACAGTCTATACTCAATAACTAATGATCAATATCCATAACTTATTTTTTTAGCATTATTCATTATTCATTATCTATACACATTATTCTAAGCGCAATACTCTGCTTTCGTTATTCATAATGCATTATTCATTATTCATTAGGCTATACTCAGTACTAATCATTATTCATTATTCATTTTTCATTACCTATTAAATCATTATCATTATTAAACATTATCATTAATTATTAAACAACAATCAATGCCTTCCTCTTCTACCCCCACCACTACCATTACTTTCTTATCAGCACCCTCTACTCCCCCTACTATCTATTCATAACTAGACACTCATGCAGTCATTCAGTCACAGTTCACAATGGTCAATGCAAACTACTCGCTCGTCAATATGCGATTATTTACGTACTCGATCGCACGCATTACTAATCGTTAACCGAAAAGGTCTGATGACATCAGCGCAACAAAGTTCGTCTATTTATTTGTGTGTGTGCGTGTGTTGATGATATTTTCTTATGCTATTGTTTAAGCCATCTGGCAACGCCATTTGCTATTACATCTACGTCTTTAATCAGTGATCAAACGACACGTGCCGCCATTTCAATTAATCAAATGAAAGCTCATTCAATTTGCGTTTATCATGAAAAGCAAAGTGCAAGCTCAGCATTTGACGCCTTACCCCTAGATGGGGTCTCACGGCTACCCATTTAATAATAACCGCATTATATGTATATATATATATATTATTTTTTTAACTCTAGAAATTTTTAACAACGGGATAGCGCTTGAACGGCAGATTGCTAATAGATAGTTTGGGAATTGCAATAATAAAATTTTAGTAAAAGTATTAACTGTTAGTTAAAGTGCTTATTAAGTAGTAGTTTAGGTAGGAACTGATTTACTGAGGTTTTACATATCATATTTAAGCTTTAGTTAATGAACTCATTTTTGACTACTTTATAAATGTTTATGAGAATTACAGGGTATATATAGATGCAACGAAAGATATACAACAGAGACAAGAATTTATAATCATCAGGTTTTATTTCTATACCCATGATCCTTTGATTGCTTCAAATACAGGGTATCATAACAAGAGAAGCAATCCAAATAAGTTCGTAGCACAAAGCTATGCAGAGCTTATATAATTTACAGGGGATATATTTGACAGATAGTTATTGAATTGTTTTGAATTACAGGGTATTATAACATAGTTTATAAGAAAGTGCTTCGATTTTAAAACGAACTTAGCCGAAATATTTGATCACGCAGAACTGTTGTGTAAATTCTTTTACAGGGTATCTAAGCATAGGTAATCGTCTCATTTGACAGCTAGTGCCAAATTGCAGCGAATTGTAGAAATCGAAAGGCTAGCCAAGTGTACAGGGTATGTCTCTAGCTGGCTATCAAATGCATTTGGCATGTCATTCTGGATTGTTGTAATCTAGCGGCTGTTGTTGTAATTGTTGTTTAACTTGGAATTGTTAGTGCTGTGTCTTGTTTAATGTGGGCCTGCATCGTTATGAACTTGTTTCACTTTGCCTTCCGATTTCATGCGCTG